TTTGGGGAGTTTTCCCACACAATACCCAGTGTTTAAATTTAAAATACCACCAACAGATTCCTACGCTCCCCACACAAGCTTTTCCAAACCGCCCTCCCCAATTCAATAGCCAAGAAAATAATTCTCATATATTCACCGTTAATTCCCGTGTCTCATGACACTGCCCTAAAAAGAAAGGATATTTTTACTGCCATAAAAAACCCACCCACGTATTAATCACAGTCATCAAATACTTTTAAGTTCGCATCCCCTAAGCCCCGACTGTCCCAAGGAGCAGATAAAACCCTTCCTTGGCCACCACCCTGCCCAGCTGAAGTTGTTGAGAGGCTGACGTATGAGCTGACAGAGATCCACGGGGTGATGCGGGTACGATCCGGTAAGCGGAGAAGGCTGGAATTATTCAAGAGCTTACAGTAGTGTGAAGGGAGGGCGATGAGAGAAACCTGATTTTAGGGAAGGACAAACAGCCCAAGGGCCAGGCCGAGCACAGCCCCGGCCTGGTCCTTCCATGGGGTGACCATGTGGGAAAATCAAGTTTACTATGACTTCACCAACACTTTATAAACACAGTTAGAAACAGGAAAAGAAAAGAAAAGAAAAGAAAAGAAAAGAAAAGAAAAGAAAAGAAAAGAAAAGAAAAGTTTAGTGTGAGGAAGAGGAGGCTGAGGGGAGACCTCATCACTCTCTACAACTACGTGAAAGGACACTGTAGAGAGGTTGGTGCTGGTCTCTTCTCACAGGTAATTAGTGACAGAACGAGAGGGAACGGCTTCAAGCTCCAACAGGGGAGGTTTAGATTGAACATTAGGAAGGAATTTTTCACCCAAAGAGTGGTCGGGCATTGGAACAGGCTGCCCAGGGAGGGGGTGGAGTCCCCATCCCTGGCTGTGTTTAAGGGCCGTTTAGATGCAGTGCTGAGGGACATGGTGTAGGGGAGGACTTTGTAGAGTAGGGGAGATGGTTGGACTCGATGATCCCAAGGGTCTCTTCCAACCTCAATGATTCTGTGATTCTATGAATGCCAGCTTTGGCCAAGCAGAGGCTGGAGACGAGCCATCCAGCCGGGTGTGGGATCCTTCTGTCCTACCATCACACTGTACACTTATTTTAGAGGAATTAAGTGCCACGTGGTAATGGAGGAGAGCGCTGAGACAGCAGCCCAGCTCTGCTCTCGCTCTCTGCCTGGTGTCACTCGGGGGGTTTATCTCCAGCCACGTGGGATGAGGACAGCGAGCTGCCTCACCTGCACCCATCAGTACTCGCTGGCCTCCCCGCGCCTGACCAAATTAGTCCGGGCAGAGGGAAACCAGAGCTCCTTCAGTTACACGCGAGAGGGAACAGCAAAGTCTCCATCTCATACTTGGTTTGGGGATAGCTTGTGCTGTTTCTTAAAAATAGAAATGAAAATTAGACCCGTGAAAATGGCACCCGGGTGCACAGCTCGAGCCAGCCAGCAGGCAAGCTAAAAACGCTTTCCTATCTTTATTTCAAGAGAACTGCTGGGGGAAAAGACTCTTTTCATCCACCCCAAAACAGTCTCCTGTATTTGCAGAGTTACCCTGACTCCCAGCCCTACACCCCGCAGCAGGGAGCAGTGAGGGGACACTGATGGCTGCAGGAGCACGAGGGAAGGCAGAACCTCAGCTTACACTTGGGCAAGTTTTATTTCCAGCAGGGACTCAAGAGTAGCTCATCTTTAAAACATTTCCAGAAAGAGGTCAGGCTTCTTTTTATTATTTGTTTTTAATTCACCAATTCCACGCTAACACACTGCTCCTTTTTGGAGGCAAGGAGAGAAGGACTCCAAAGGACCTCAAGAGTACCAGGAAGCAAGGACACCCCCTTCCCTCTCCTGGGTGCTCCTGGCCTGGAGCCGAAGAGCTGCTCCATGTGTGAGGCTGTCCCAGTGCTCATCACCTGGAGACACCTCGGAAGCGGGTGCCTGGAGCACAGCCATCTCCTTGCCAGACATGCCACCTCCACCAGAAGTGGAGGTGCCAGACATGCCACCTCCCCCACGTCCCTGAGTGCCAGCAGGGAATGCCAAGCCATGAATGGAGACCACCATGAGGATGCTCTCCATCTGGGCAGGCAGCCTTAGACACAACCTTGCTTCTCTGTCCTCATCCACCCACTGCAATGCTCTCCCAGTCTTCTGGCCTTCTGGAGCCATTGATGCTCCCTCCTTGTGGGCACAGATCCATATGGCTGCTTGCCACCCTTTGTGCCCACTGGCCAAGCCGGCCCTAAAGCATCGACCTGGGCCCTGCAGAGCAGCCCTGGGAAGCACCCAGGGTTTGAGGAAACAACTCAGAAGAGTCCCCACGTGAGCAGACCTGAAGGACTGGGCTCCCCAGTTTAAGAAGGACAGGGGACTCCTGGAGAGGGTACAGCAGAGGGCTACAAAGAGGATGGGAGGCCTGAAGCATCTCTCTTAGGAGGAGAGGCTCAGGGACTTGGGTCTTTTTAGTCTGGAGAAGAGAAGGCTGAGGGGGGATCTGATCAACGCCTATAAATACTTAAAGGGTGGTTGTCAGGAGGATGTGGCCAGTCTTTTTTCAGTGGTGCCAGGTGACAGGACAAGAGGAAATGGACACAAACTTGAATATAAGAAGTTCCACCTAAACATAAGGGGGAACTTCTTTCCTGTGAGGGTGGCAGAGCCCTGGAAGAGGCCAGAGAGGTGGTGGAGTCTCCTTCTCTGGAGACGTTCAAACCCCCTGGACATGTTCCTGTGCAACCTGCTCTGGGTGACCCTGCTTTGGTAGGGGGTTTGTCTGGATGATCTCCAGAGGTCCCTTCCAACCCCACAGCATTCTGTGATTCTGTCACCCAGGGACAACTTCAGGGAACCCAGAACCTCGTCCCTCCCTTGTAAACACCCACCCCAGGGCTCTCACGGGGAAACAACACTAGGATTTTCATTTTGATTCAAGCAAAACAGTCAAACCTAATGCACGTTCATTCTTTACCTTAATTAAAAGACCTCTAATTGGGTCCAAACACCATCAGCCAGGTGAACACTGAAGGGTGAAGTAATTCACCGATGTCCTCAGCTCTAACACCAGCGCACAAGGGGTCAGCGTCCATTTACAGAGTCTTATCCCCTCGGACCAGACCAGACAAGTCTGGGAAAACGAGAGTTGGGTTTTCCTCTCCCATCCGCTCCCTGGCCGGGAGCACAGCATCACCCCGCAAAGAGCTGAGTCAGCACAAGGGTGAGATGGTGCAGGAACCAGCACCCGCACCCAGAGTCAGCGCCTTCCTCACCCCGGCAGCACAGCCCGACCTCGCTGGAGCTGGGGACTCAGCACGGCCACAGCCCCAAGGCAGGAAGTCTTGGCATTTGTTGCTTTTGTGTAGAGACACAAACCAGAATGACCCAGCGTGACCCTGGGGGCAGCACCACCAACATCCTCCTGACGATGGGTTGGGGCTCAGCCGGCAGCTGCGTCCCCCCCAACCAGTCAAGGTGAAGGCACCAGCCTCTCCCACACCTTCTCCCTTTTCCAAACACCCTCCCAGGTACAGGGCTCGTGTCCCGCTCCGGGACAAGTGATGTCTGCAGGACCAAGAGCTGTCACACCCAGCTCACTACAGCCGTGACCTGGCACGAGGTCTCACTCATGCCTAGAAACTTCCGTCTCCTCCCCGGTCTCCCGTCGCCCCCATCAGCACTGACCCGCTCCAGAGCTGCCGTAGCGAGGGACAGAGGGTTCACAACACTTGGTGTAATTAAATCCGTAGATGCTATTGCCCCGGAACACAGCGTACTCAAACAATCATGGGAAATGAGTAAGTGGCTCATGCACTAATCAACTTCTGTATGACCTTGTGGGACGGCTAATTATACAGACCACATCAGCCCGGGACTGGGGGTTTATTCTCCTGCAAACGGGACCGCTGGTGCTCTTAACACCATGTTAAGGACAGACTCTGCCCAGCCCTGGAGCAGGGCAGCGAGATGCTGCAGCAGCACTGAGCCAAAGCCACCCCAGGCTGCACACAAACCCCTCGCTACCTGCCTTCCCCGCTCTCATCTCCACACATCCACCTCCCAAAAATATATTGGGGGCGTTTTATGAAGCAAGGTTTTCATTTTAAGCAGAGCATTACAAAAATCAAGCGTTCGCTACATCATTTCTCTTGTCTCAGGTCTGATTTCCAGCATTCAAGATAAGATCTGAGATGGGCGTATTTTAGGACAGAGGAGACGGCAGCTTTTCAAGAAATTCACGTGTTTTGTTTTCCGCAACGTGAAGTCATGCTTCTTTGTGGAAGAAACCCAAATGTTAATCCCAGAAGAGTTATGAACATTGAAATATTTCTAAAATATTCGAGTTGTTAAGCAACTCACCCACCCATTACGCAATGGCACAGTAAAAATGCCCCTCTTGGGAAGAGCTGCAGAAGAGGGATGGGGCTCCGACAGCTTTGCAGAACCCAGTTACCCCAAACGTACACCAGTAAATACCACAGCGTAGTGTTTGTAGGGGGAGAAGGGGAAATACACACGGAGGGAGACAGCTCAGCTAAATGTGTGTCATTCATCTATCAAACTACCCTAAACTCCAGGAGAATAGGAAAGGCACTTTGTTGTGAGCCCATGTCCCCTGTGGTGCCACTCACGCTGCATTCGGTGCCTCTCATGGCATCCCCTGTCCCCATGGACCAGCCCGCAGTCCCCAGCAGACAGGCACATACATCCTGATATAAGAAGCATCATAAAATCACTTTTATCAGCTCTCTACAATTTACAGTCATTACCAAGGGCTCTAAAGACCTGCTCAGCGCTGCACGACCCGCTGAGATGACGGTTGGTGCTCATGGTGGTGTCTAAACCCCTCTGTGCCTCCGCAAAACTGCCAGCTATTTTTAATTGCGTATGAAATCATATCTGCCAGGGTTTCTGCACAATTGAGCAAGCCCAGAAGAGGAGGTTTACAAGGAGGCATTAAAGAGGACCCAGTTGCACGTTGGCACACTCGGACGCGCTCTACCTGACTGGTTGTTCCTCATGCGGATGGCTTTGGCCTTGGCCAGCTCCAGGGCCGTCACCCAGCGTTGCCTCTCCACCTCCGAGTTGGCCTTCAAGTGATACGTCCTCCCCCCGTTGGAAAGCACGATGTTACAAGAGTCCTCCGTGTCGATGTGAGCCGTGGAGAGGTTGATGGTCCCGCGACACGTGTGGGCCATTTCTGCCTGTGTCCTGCACGGGAACAGAGAAAAAGGAGCATTACTGACCCCACACCCAGGCTGTCCCCAAACCACCACCCACGCACCCCCCACGGAGACATCCCCAGCAGGCAGCAAGCCCGATGAAGCCACCAAAGCCAGACAAGCTGCTCAAAGAGGAAATTAAAGGACAGGGCTGCAGCATTTGGATCGAGCTTGATCCCTTGTAAGACCACCACCCCCAGCTTTTAAGCTGCTGGTTTCACGTCCTGCTGCACCCATTGCTTCTGGCTGCCCTAAAACGACAATGACCAATGGCACATCTCATTCACATCGCTTGTCTCATTCGCATTGCTGCCTTCTGCCTTCTCCCCATGATCCCACCTCCAGCATCCAGTATTTTGTGGCTCTTTATAGCCCCTCCCTTCAATCTTTTGCCTAGGTGTGAGAAGGTCTTGCATGCAAAGATCCAACTCTAACCATTCCATGATTTTATGATCTCCATTTGTAAAGCAACGGACTGGTGAGGCCCCATCTGGAGCACTGGGTCCAGTTCTGGGCTCCCCAGCTCAAGAAGGACAGGGAACTGCTGGAGAGGGAACAGCTGGACCCGTTCCAGTGCAACCTGCTCTGGGTGGACCTGCTCTGGCAGGGGGTTGGACTGGATGATCTCCAGAGGTCCCTTCCAACCACGACCACTCTGTGATTTTGTGACCCCTCCATCACCCCCAATAGCTGCTGCTCTCTCCATCATGAACCTATCTCCACGTCTTCAGACATTCTTAGCTCTCCATGGGCTTTAAGATTTATCAGAACTGAAAGGATCACTTAATTTTTTTATTTATTAGTTTTTCTCTCCCCTCACCAGCGGCATCACACTGGCTGAGAGCTGCCTTCACGCACAGGGAGACACTTCATCTTTCCAGAGCACGGAAGATGTGGAAGAACCTCATAGGAACCAACAGCCACTTCTTACCACAGTGTTTTCAGAAGGAACTAAAGTCACTTTGAAAAAAAAAAAAAAAAGGCACAAAACTAGGTTTTTCCAGGCACTTGGTCACAGAGATAAATGCTTGAGGAGTTCCAAACTGCCTCTACACCCACTGCTGCATTGCAGACGTCGAAAATAGCTCTGAGCACTGAGCCAGCAACTCCTCAAGGTTTCCCACCAGCCCAGCAGCACAGCCACAGCATCACCGACCCCGTACAAACCCCCAGCATTGGGACAAGCTCAGCAGCCACCGGCCTCCAAGCCCCACTCCCACCCCAGGGGCTGCCTGCTCTCCCATCTGGGGGGCACAGAGGCTGAAACCCCCATGTGCCTCCAGCCAGGAGGGGCTGGGCAGCACCTGGAAGCCAGGACCTTCAAGCAGGATGTTTTCCTTGATCCTTGTTGCATTTTTCCATCTCTTACCACTCATCTTTTGTTTTGTCTATCCCCTTTTCCCATCCCGCTCAGCTCTGCTGCAGACCCTCCCCTCCTCATCTTTTGTTTTGTCTATCCCCTTTTCCTATCCCGCTCAGCTCCACTGCAGACCCTCCCCTCGATCATAGAATCACAGACTGGTTTGGGTTGGAAGGGACCTTAAAGCCCCCCCAGTGCCACCCCCTGCCCTGGGCAGGGACACCTCCCACCACACCAGGTTGCTCCAAGCCCCCTCCAACCTGCCCTTGAACCCCTCCAGGGATGGGGCAGCCACAGCTTCTCGGGGCAACCTGGGCCAGGCTCTCACCACCCTCACAAACTTCTTCCTGTTTTGAAGCAAAAAACTTCTTCCTGAAAATCCTCATTCCTCACCCACCTTGACACCCTTCCCACTGCCCATCCATCCCCAGAAAACAGGACTACAATAAACACACCTGTCATTAGGCCACTTCTGGGTCCACAAACATTCCACGTTTGCCCCCCAGCACCCACGAAGCACTTGCCACCTTGCATTTACCCTGCACAGAAAGGTGGGATCCTTCTTGGCTTGTCCATCCTACAAACCTCATTGAAGGGTTGACACAGAACAGGCATCACTAACACTTAGAAAATTCAGTTCCTCTGTGTTTTCCCCCCTCCTGCTGCTGGCTATCACCTCCCATGGCACAGTTTCATCTTGCCCAGCACCTTCACCATTTTCACCCCCGCAAGCAGTCAAAGGTTCCAGGAGAGTTTTAAAGACCCTAAATCCCCCTAAACCCAGGTGACCACCCTGGGCAAAGAGTTGGGAGCAGGATGGTGCTCTCACAGGATACATGACCCTCGGGTACTTTTAAACACCTCTTGTCCAAGTCATTTCCACAGCCTGACCCTTTTCCTGACATTAAAACATGCTGGAATTGGGTAAACGTCAGACAATCATTGGAAGGATTTTGCTGGTATTTCAGCACATTACTACACAGTTACTCATTGAGTAATTCCTCCTGCAGCAGCAGGAAGAATCTCAGTCATTTGTAGGAATTACTGGCTTCTTCCCTTTCCCCCCAAGCCCAGCAGCACAGTCCTCACCCAGGAATGTCCCTCCAGGTCCATCATTCATCAGTTCCTGTTTGAAACGCCCTGGGGGTAGAGAGGGAACCAAGAGGGTTGGTGGCAGAACAGGGTCTGGTCCCACCACAGCCCATCATCACCCTCGGTGTCCTAAGGAGCAGCTCCACCCACAGTCACAGGCAGCTGCCAGGAGCACCCTGCGTGAGGACGAGAGGTTGAGCTCCCGGAACCATTCACCAAGTAATGGGGAGCACAAGGTTTGTGAAGAACTGGTGCTCCTCAGGCACCCAACTGTTCTTTGAAGAAGCTCAACCTCGTTACTTGAAGTATTTTCCCAACAGTGCACAAGGATGGGGGAAAACACACTTCTTTCCAACCGGCTTTGAAGGTCTCAAGGCTATTTCCCACCTGATAAAGCCCCTAACACTGACAAGAGCTCACCCCAGGGACACGAGGCTGCTTCATGCTGCAGGAGCAGAAAGTCATCCTTGCTCACAGCCTCCCACCACCAGTTACACCGCTCTGCCTCAAGCCCCATCTCTCTCTCCACCATTCTGCTTTTTCTCCACTTCCTCCTTGTTTCTTTACCCTGTCTTTTTGCTCCTAAAACAGGGCACCCCCAGGCCAAGAAGATGACATTCCCCCTCACCTGAGCTGAAGGTGCTGGGTAGATGTCTCTGCTGACCCTCACATGGCCATGCCAAGTCTCTCCCTCTGACCCCATCCCTCTCTTTACACAGAATCCTTCCCATCATCACTGAGCTCCACATCCCATCAGGGCACTCCCATTGACTCTCAATCCCAGGTCACTCACGACACCTCCAGAAACACAATGAGCTCCAAAAGTGATCACTGGCCACAACTTTTCCAAGATTTCAAAGCCAAATGCCATCTTTAAAGCCAGAAGCTGAACAAGCCACCAGCTGCTGAGCACTGGAAGCTTTCGTGAAGGCATGCACCACCAGCTGGGCAAGTATGAGACTATTCCCACATGCCAGGAGCATCTCTGCTTGTTCCTGAAGAGCTGGAGGCAGTTTGCACGTTGTGTCCTTCTCCGTGACCACGAGCACGGCGACAGTCCCACCACAGCACACGGGCAGAGTACAGCCAATCTCTGATTACCTACATGGTCCACACCTGTAAAAGCCACCATGAGCTGGCCATGGGCTTCCTAAACCTTCTGGCCCTGCTCCACACACTGATGCAGCGGCAGCGCAAGACCTCAGATCTCGCTCCCCAAGGAACACAGCACCAGGCAGAGCCTCGGGGTCTCTTGAAGGAGGTTTTAGAGTTGTTTTCAGAAAGATGGAGTTCGTTATTGTGCAATGCCAAGCCCAAACCCAGGCTGGGCAGAGAACGGCTAGAGAGCAGCCCTGAGGAGAAGGACTTGGGGGTGCTGGTGGGTGAGAAGCTCCACACACCCCTCAACGTGCGCTGGAGCCCAGAAACCCCCCGCCCCCTGGGCTGCATCCCCAGCCCCGTGGGCAGCAGGGCCAGGGGGGGATTCTGCCCCTCTGCTCCGCTCTGGGGAGACACCCCCCAGTGCTGCCTCCAGCTCTGGGGCCACCACCAGCAGAAGGACATGGAGCTGTTGGAGCGGGGCCAGAGGAGGCCCCGGAGATGCTGGGAGGGCTGGAGCCCCTCTGCTGGGAGGGGGGGCTGAGAGAGTTGGGGGGGTTCAGCCTGGAGAAGAGAAGGCTCCGGGGAGACCTTGGAGCCCCTTCCAGTCCCTCAAGGGGCTCCAGGAGAGATGGGGAGGGACTCTGGATGAGGGAGGGGAGCCCTAGGAGGAGGGGGAAGGGTTTGACCCTGCAAGAGGGGAGATGGAGCTGAGCTGTGGGGAAGAACTTGTTTGGTGTGAGGGTGGTGAGAGCCTGGCCCAGGTTGCCCCGAGAAGCTGTGGCTGCCCCATCCCTGGAGGGGTTCAAGGGCAGGTTGGAGGGGGCTTGGAGCAACCTGGTGTGGTGGGAGGTGTCCCTGCCCAGGACAGGGGGTGGCACTGGGGGGGCTTTAAGGTCTCTTTCAACCCAAACCATCCTGTGATTCTATCATTATGGGATGGAGATACAGTCCTCACCAGGTGAGAACAGGCAGCAAGCCAGAGAGACTCTCACTACCAACCCTACTGCTGGGGTTACGTGTCAGGCAGAAGAAGCCATTCTGGCTGAACACGAACTCAAATCCCCAAATCCCACAGCCCCAGCTATGGTGTTCCCAGGACTTCTCCCACCTGCTCAGCCCTGACGCTCTTTTGCAGAACAGATTTAACCTGGGGACACATCCCAACAGGAACAAAAGCCCCTCGGTACCTCCTGAGCTCTTGGGCTTCATGTCTCACAGCACCACAGATTAAGTCCAAACCCTGGGTACCATGTGGTGACATTTGCTTGGAGGGGGGGTGAATTTGGCTCCAAATGAACTCAAGCACTGATTTTCATTCCCAAAGTCACCCTCCTCGTGACGCAGCCCGTTCTGACATGTTCCCAGTGGAGATCACTTCCCACTGTGAGAGAACTACGAAAAGGATTTTACTCTTCTGCACAAAACAAAGGTCTCCA